AAAACTTCAGGTTTTTAAAGGTTAACTGAGCATGTATGCTGTTCATTGAGCCAAATTTTCGTTATTATGCTTTTTGTGCTGTGCAACAGCTGCACCAAACGTATGTTTTCATGGGGTTGTCTGTGTGTGTATGTATGTATGCGTATGTGTGGTTGTATGCGTATGTGTATGTATGTGTGCGTGTGTGTGTTTGCGTCCCCGGTGCATCTTGTTCAAATTTTTGTCTCAAAAATTCCCCCATATTTCATGCTGTGTTAAAGAAGTCCAGTCTTTTCCCTTTCACGCTGCATGCTTCGTACTATATTTTTGATGTCATCGCGTATTTACGCATGCTAGTGCCAAATGCGACGAAATGAGCGACCGCGTAAGGTAAAATTTGTCAAAGAAGTAGATGCTAACTGGAGGTATGCAACGAAGGATCGAAAGGCCCAAATAACTGCGCCCATCATGTAGGAGAATCCGAATAACATCACTAATGTGACGACTCTCAGTGCGGGGTTTCCATGTTAGTAATGTTACTGAGATGCTCGCACATCCTGGAGATTATAAAAAAGTCAAAATGAACTTACATTACACAGTTAATTTAATCCTAACTTTCACTACTCTCAATTACTACACTCATCCTAGTAACAAGGTTCAGTTTTCGTAATGGCAAGAAATGTATACGACTTAATGGACCGAAACACTTCTTACTATTATAATAATCCCACAAATTTTCTAATTTTCATTTCTTACCTTTTTCTTTTTTTTGCTCTCTCTCTATTTTATCCCTTACTATAACTTTCTAATACATACAAACATACATACATGCATACGTACATACATAAACATACACAGATCGCTTGAAAAAATCAAAATTTTCTATCATTTTTGTGTTTTTTTTCCGTGAAATCACTAGCATTAAACTTGTTATAAAATACTCTGTTTCAGATCGTTGCGTCCAAAACCACCACGTCCGTATGCACCACCACCGCCTCCGGTCGGAGTAATTGGTGCAGCAGGAGTGATACCGGCAAATGGGGCACAGGCATTTCCACGTGCCGTCCCTCATCCCCCACCCTATCGACCAGTACCACCGGT